TGTCTCGACCCTCCCCGCCCCATTGTACTCAAATATCAGGCCGATCACTTGCGTGAGCTCTTCCCCAGGGGGGCGTGGAAGAATGTGTGGTGCGGCGATCGTGCCGGCGGGGGCGGAGAATGACCCTTTCCGCGCGCAAGATGCTGCGCGCTACGACCAAAAGACCAACGGGACGAGGACGAGCGCCAACACGGGCATACAAATTTGCTTGTCGCGCGTGACCAGTGCACGTATGCCTTGTGGCGTATCACGATATGGGACTGAGTGCGATCACCCCGGTCATGCTATTTCCGCACGCGACTTGCCCTATCAGCTAGAACTTGAGACCTAACCAGACGAAAACACACGACATACCAGGTAATAAAGCGGAAAGCGTCCGTCCACACACGCTAGCACAACGATGAAGATCAGCCAGCGAGTGGCATTGCCTTCCATGTTAGGCACTTCGCCGTGACCAGAAAGGATGGTGCCGGCATTTGTGGCGGGAAGGCAGCCCTGGTACGTCTGGGCAGTGTGGGCCGGAACGCTCCTCCTCCTGTCGCGTCGAGTCTGGCAGGCCTGCGACCGCGCAGTGATGGTCAGCGGCGTTGAGGATGAAGGCAGCACTTGCAGCACGGGTAGCAGTTTTGAGAGGGCTTTCCCACTCAGGTTAGTGAGGTGAAATGAGGACATAATAAGATCGGGAGTTCCTCACGGTGCCATTCCGGTAGCGCGTTTGGGGCTAGAAAGCTAGAAATTAGAATGTTTGTTTTTCCGTATACCTTACGCCGGACTATTACGCAGCCGTGATTTTGCTCATTCGCATTTCGCTTGGCCAGACAGTGAACTGCACAAATTTCTGGCGCTCATTATGGCTCTTGGTGTGCTTCAATTAGATGACAGAAAGCCGACCTGACCGCACTCTCACACAATTGCCCGGTAGATTTTGTCACAAAATCCACGACAGCGGCTATGCGATCTGGAGATGGATAGAACTCCAAGAAGACGCTCTGGCCTTGGGAACGGCCTCCCCCCGCGCGCCCTTCTCGCCCTCGGCGTACAGGGAGTCCTGGGTCTGTCGGGGGCCGTTGGAGGGGGAGGGGGGCTGGTGGATTGGCCTGGCGACGCTTTTGATCCTCACGGTGTGCATGCAGAAGGACGTGATTCGGGCCCTCTACAGGCCTTGGGTCGCATTCTTTCTGGCGTGCCTGGGCGGGAAAGAGGACTGGGTGGCTGTGAGCGAGGCGGAGTTGCCAGAGCTGGAGGACACGGCAGTGATCGCGAATGAAGCCTGGCAAAGAGGGAGAGAGCAGCGGAAGCCGTCGCAAAGAGAGGGGAGGGAGGCTCGGCACAGGACTATAAAAGAGGAGGAGGAAGAGGAGGAGGAAGTGGTGGTGGACGAGGTCCGCGATGTGGCGGGAGAGAGGGGCCTGGGTGACGAAGCTGTCAGAAGAATGCTCACCGCTCCTTGTGGGGGCAGTTCCTCTCGTTATGGTGGAGCGAAACGAGGTAACACCCGGCAGTGTGCCTGCCGCACCCACTGGGACACTAGTAAGCCCTGTGCTTCTGACTGCGCGGCTTGCAGCGAGGAAGCTGACGGTGTCTTGCCCCCCTTGCTAGCCTCGAAGCGCGTACCTCCGGCTGGATGGCTAGTCTACGACCCTATCCTGGGTCTGGTTACCTACGAGGAGTCGATAAAATGGCGGGAAGGGAGGAGAAGCGCTGGCGACAGGGGTGGAGGGGGCGTGGGCAGGACGAAGGGAGGGGGCGGTCGAGGCAACGAGGGGAGCCCTCGGACAAAGCCGGGCTCGCGGAGGGCCAGCAGAACGCAGCAGGGACGAGAGGAAAAGTTGCAAGCGGCGGCCCGAACGTACCGCTCTCGAGGCGCCCTGTCCCTCGCTGGTGAGATCGGCCCGCCGTCCTCCTCCGTGTCGGCCTGAGCCACCTGGGAGAGAGGGGGGATGCCGGGGAAATGATTGGGCGATATACAGAGCACACCCATGCCAGGGTATGCACGCGTCTGCGCTCGGAAGGGGTGCTAATCGATAGGGGGGAAGGGGGGGAAGCAATCATCCGTCAAATGTTCATATGTGCGTGTCAGCGCGGTCCCACCCGCGATTTGAAACGTGCTTAATTCTACAGCCCACGCGGCAATTAAAGATAGAGAGCACATGTGAAATACAGGACCGTTACTCTGCGTTTGTGTTCGTTTGGGTGAATACCCTGGTCACGAGAGATACTGTGTTTCTTTCCTCTCCCCAACCCCGCCCTCTGTCCCGCCTTGCCGTCCCCACAGCGGCAGCGACGCCTTTTGGGCCTCACGCCAACCCTAAAAGTCCACCAGCCGCGCCAACTTCGAGAGCCGGTTCAGCAAAGCGTCCCCATCCCGCACCACCTCCAGGTACTGGGCGTTTTTCGAGTCCGGTCGCCGCGTCTCCACCACGCCCCCCACCTTGTCGATCTTGGCGCTCAGCCTCCCCGCCGCGATGAAGCGGGAGAGCTCCCGGTCGAGAAAATCGACCGAGATCCCGAAGGCGTCGGCCATGGAGGCCACGCGAACGCTCTTGTAGGACTCCAGGAACTGGGAGTACACGAGCACTCGCATCTCCCGCACGAGCAGGCGCAGGTGTGGAGACATGTAACGGTCGCGGGTCAGCTCCGGGGTCACCTCCACGAGCGCTTGGAAAAAAGCCCGGTAGTCACAGTCGTACAGGGAATTCAGCAGCCGGCCTAGGGCTGGCTTCTCCCTCAGGACTGCGATCACTTCGGGCCCGTCGACTAATTTTTTCTTGAGCGTGGTCCTCTCCAAATACAGGAGGTTGGTGATGACCGCGTAGAAGATGAATTGTTCGTACGTTGTCAGCTCCACGCAAGTGAAAGTGGCGATGCAATCCAGTAAAAGCTCGGCAGCTTTCTTCAGCGACCGGGTTGTGATGAGTGCGACAGCTTCATATACTTTCAATCGGTTCCGCCGATCCCAGTCGCCCCCGTCCTCCACCAGCTTTTTGGCCCTCTCCAGATTCTCTTTTGTTGCCTCGGTGTCCCGGAAAAAGAGGCCTAGGCGAACCTTGTCCATGGCGGCATCGATCCTCTTGCCTGTGCTAATTTTGGGTTTAGTCAAAATCTCATCCGCTGCTGCGTATGCTGCCGTCTTGTTTCCAATTCGCGCGAAAAATTTCTCGCGGGCAATCATGGCATCCAGTACTTCCATGTCCCCGGAACTCTCTGTAGCCACCCTTAGCTGCTCCTCAATTTCTGCCAATTCCGCCTCATTTGAAGCTTTGAGTTCCGCTTGCAAGGCAGCATCTACAGGCCAACCCAGCTTCTCCACGCACACACTCGTGTACAAGGGCTCGGCTTTCTCTGCTTTGATCACAGCAAGAACGCGATTTGTCACCTCTTCCAGGTCTGGAACTTCGTCGGGTTTACTTTGCGCCAGCTCCAGCAGGTGCAGGTCTTGAGCTAGGGCCATGTCGGGCACCGCCTTGCGCTCCTCCTCCTCTTCAGGAAGTCCTGACGATTCATTCCCGAGGGCGGGAGGCTTGGTGTGGGATGATATATCTTCAACGGCCATGGTCGTACGCAGTGATATCCACCCCTGTGCTTGTCATGCGTGCAAAAAATGAGCACCAGTGGGGGAAATGGGCGGTACGTGAGAATTCTTCGAGCTCTGGTCTCTTTCAGCGACGCGGTGGGAGAGGGTAGCACACAGGTACCTGGTCATTTCAGTGACCCCGGCGCACACGCACCAGGAGGGCGTGGCTGCTTGAGTGTGACATGCGATGAAAGGATGAGGAGGCAGACATTTTTTTGGCCACTTACATGGCGAGCACTACGAAAGCCATGCATGTTTGGGAGTCAGGAGTGACGGCACCCTGGCCGCGATCTGCCTGCATAACGATATGTTGCCATAGTCCGCGGTGAAGGCATCAAGCCATGTTCCGTTGAGAACTCACGGTACGCCCCTTTATTTTGTAAGCATAAACATTGGAGACGGACAACGCCATGGACTGGCGGCGGCTTTTGTCCGCAACTGAGGCCTCTGTGACGGGCTGGACACGTAATCTCTGGTCTCGCACACGGACGCCGGTTCCTGCCCCCTCGGACTCCGAGCAGGAAAAATCAGGTGGGCAAGATTCGGACGTAGGCCGCGATGTTGTAGAAAGCAAAGCTTACAGGCCGTTGGAGCCTGTGTATCAGAACCTAGCCCGCGGCTTGACCCACCGGCAGACGGTAGGTCGCCGCATGTTGAGTGGCATGGGAAACGACGCGCGTATGCTGGCAAAGCTACCATCCCGGCACCCTGTCCATCAAATGGTGGTGGACCTGAACAGAGGTGCGTTGAAGAGCAGTCGGAACTTGCACGTGGTTCGAAAAGAGCCCTTTATGAATAAACTAACCGAACCGATGCCCGTCCCCCAACCTCCCTGTCTCAGCCCTGGATGCCTACGTGGAGGCCAAGCACGCTCAAACGCCACATTCAGCATCACCGTACGCCCCATTCAACCCCGTATCGGCACCGTCCCTCCCGGGAAACGCGGAGTGGCAGGAAGTAACCCAGGCTGTCCTCCATCTCCGCGACCGGCTGATCCCTCTCGACGTCTCCCTCATGGACCCACCGGGTCGAGTGCGCGCAGACAGCGGCCACGCGGACGACCGGGAGATGTTCGTGCGCGTGAATGGTCCAGAGGCAGTTTTGCGGCTGCTCTCGCCGCCGGTCTTGGTGGCCTCGGAGGTGGAAAACTTGAATGTGAACCTCCTGCACGCGAGCCTGGGGGAGGTAGTGAACGAGTCCATGGCCTTGCTCCGGGCGGCCGTGCACGTCGACCAGGACACCGGGGCCCGATTGGCCTCTGACGAGGTGGTTGTCGTCTTCTTCCAGCTCCTGCGGCACCGGTGTTTCTTCGACGGGGCTGCGGCCGTCCTCGAGGACCTGCTGGGAGACCGGGCGGAGACTTTCTTCATGGGCCGAGTGCCAGACCTGCGCGGTATCCTCCTCAGCCTCTCCCTCCGACAGCTCGCGCACTTCTGCCGCGTGCTTGCCCTCCTTGTCTTCGACCAGGAAGACCGGAGTCTGATGGAGGCGGGCCATGCCATGCAGTCCTTGGAGATCCTCCAGATGCGCCGGGACCGGCTCTACCGCCCCAACCCCACCCTGGATCGCAACCAAGCCCTCCTGGCCCGCTCCCCGCAAATCCTCGTCCGTCTGGTCACCCTTGTGCGTGTCATGAACCACGCGCCCCCCCTCGCACGTCCTCAGCAGCCGGAAGCGCCTAAGGCGGGCCTGCCCCACGCTGGAGATGTTCTACCTCCTCGGGCACCGGATCGAGCAGTCGCGGTGGGAGCATGTGCAGGAGCTGGAGGGGGCGGTGCGAGCCGGGGAGGCCCTGGCCAGGTCGGCGAAGAGAGGTAATGGAGAGGGGGGGGGGGAAGGAGGGGAAGGAGGGGAAGGGAGCGACGACGGGGCTCCGCACCCCACGTCCCGCCTCCCGCCTCCCGAAGCCACGCCCGCGTCCTCCGAGGCCCGCCCCTCCTCCGCCGCCAGCACGGGCCGACTCCCCCTGTCGGACCTGGTCAACCTCCTGGGGCCCCTGCTCTTCGCCCGCGCCGCCCCTGCCAGCGCCTCCCGCGAGCTCGACCTCGATCTGGGTCAGCTCCTTCGCTTCATCCACCGCCGCAGTGTCTCCAGTGGCCCCTCTTTGCCTGCTTACGAGAGCCCGACGGATCCCTTGGGGAGCAGCACCGACGGGGGTGACGGAAGTCTGCCCCCGTCCCCCCTCTTGTCGCCCTGCACCCTGGCCGAGGCCAAGAGCGAGATGCAGTTCTACGGCATGCAGCTGGCGCCCCACCACGTGGAGGTCCTCTTCGTCCTCTGTGCGCTCTTGGGCGGGAGGAAGAAGAAGTTCTTTCAGACGGTGCTTCTAGAGGAGATGGGGCTGCTGGAGGCCCTGACAGTCATGTTCGACAGGATGAGCTGGGGGAAAGCCTCGCACCACTACCACACTCTTGGGGCCGTGCACATGGAGGACGAGGAGGAAGTCTACCTGGGGGAAGGGCTGAGCGAGGATGAGGAAGGGGTGGAGGGGGAGGAGGAGGGAGGGGCGGAGGACGAGGAGGAGGAGCTTCCTCCTCCCGAGGGACACTTGCATGGGCCCCAGTGCGAGTGCACGACGGACTCCGCCCTGCGAGTGCAGTTTCTGCGGGCGGTCCACAATGCCTTGGACCGAGACTGGGAGGAGGAAGGAGAGAGAGGGGAAGAGAGCTCGCGGCGACTGGCGCTCTCGGAGTGGGAATGGGCGCAGGTGCAGGCCTTGAGGGAGGGGAGAGCTCTGGAAGGATCGGGCGGGGGGAAGGTGGTTGGCCGGAGCGGCGGCGGCTGTAGCTTGATATCCAAGACGGTCCAGGTAGAAGAGGGAGGGAGGGCAGAAGGAGGGTCAGCGGGGTGGTGGGGGTGAGAAAAGGCGGGATAGAGGGGGGCGTACCTCGCGCAACGGCCCATGTCGAGCCCTGTTATCTGACCTCGCCGCCTTCTCTTTCCCACCCTTCTTCCCGGCACAGACCCTGGTCTCCGAGAAGGAGGACAGCCCCTACCGCTTCTGGCTCTGCAGCTGTCTGGAAGCCTTCCTCCGCGCCTCACCGGCGGACGGAGCGCAGCTTTTCCTGGCCTGTTGGGGGGAGGAAGGGCGGGCCCCGACCCTGCTCCCCTTCCTAGTCGAGCAGATCCTCGCGGAAGGAGGCCAGTGTGGGGGGAGCGCGCAGATGGCCTTTGACTTGCTCGGAGAGGTGGTGAAAGGCAGTCGACGGGTGCTGGGCAGGTTAGAGGGGGATTTGGCGGGGATGGAGGACGGGTTCGAGCGGCTGATGGAGGCCGTGCAGGCGCGGGTCGTGGACAGCAATGTCTTCATGCGGGCCGTGCTTCTGACGGTGGAGGACGGGGAGGGGGAGGGGGTGGACTGGGGCGCCGGGCAGGTGGGGCTGGAGGGGCCGGCGGAGGAGGGAGGGGAGGGAGGTGGGAGGGCGGGGGAGGGGGGGGAGGAGAGGATGTCGTTGGTCCGAGGCCTGACAGACCTGCGTGTGGAGGGCGGGAGGAGGGAGGAGGGCATGGGGGGGACAGCGATGGCGCCGCGACGTCAGGGCGGTCTGACGGGAGGGGGGACGAGTGGCTATCTCCTCCGGCCTTGGAGGGCCCCCCGCGTGGTCTCCGTCTCGCGTCTAGACGGGAAAGGGAGGAAGAGGCAGGTGGAGTGCGGGTTCGCGGCGCAGGAGGCGGCGTCAAGCTGTGGCGAAGAACGCGAAAGCTCGGGAGGCTCTTTGACTGCGATCGCCCCGCCCCCCCCCGGCGTCCCCCTCCTATCCGGCAATCTCGCGCTTCGCCACCTACCTAAGTCAGCACCACGTGCGCCTGCTCAAGCGCCTGATGGGCCAAGTGGACTTTGGGGCCGTCACGCACGAGAACATCTGCGTCCTCAACTCGGCGCTGATCGTCTTTTTGTGCTGCTCCCGCCGCGGACGCCTTCCCCTTCTCGTGCAGCGCCTCCACCGAGTCCAAGCCAAGGACTTCGAGCGGCTGGCCCGGGAGAATCCGAAGGAAAGCGCCAGGGTCCACGCCCGGCGGTTCATCTGGTCCGCCCGCCCCTTCGACGACGAGTGCCGGCACGACCCCGAGGTCTCGTGGGCTGATGGCAGACATGCCTTTCCCCCCACGACCACTCCAGACCTGGAGACGCCGTGTAACTACCCTCCTTTCCACGTGGATTTCATGCGGAATTTTCGCGCCCTTCTCTTCTTCTGGCAGGCCTACTACCTCCCTCGAGGCCGGGATCGGTACTCGCTGGAATTTTCCTCGCATATTCCTTTCGTTGAGTGGAAAAATGTGGTGGACGCCCTGTGTGCAGACGATCCCACCTGTCCCACAGCTTTGGTCCACGCCCCTTTCCATCTTCCCCCTTCCCCCTACTCCGAAGCCCCTTCCTACCCGGTGCACAGTAGGGTACGCCCGAGAAGGGAATGAAGGATGGAGATATTGATTCTGGGAGTGGTAGATCTAGGTAACAGGGTGGTAAGGCTAGGCGACCCTGTCGGGAAAGCATCATAAATTGCAAGCGCAAGCATCGAAATGTAAACAAATTCTTGTTCGGCGTGGTCCACAGACCGAAGGGCGAAGGTACGCGTACGACGAGCGCTGTGCAGAGAAAACAAAAGAGCAAAGCTTATAAACGAATGCAACCGGGAATGTAATCACATGACTCATGCAAGACTTTATCAAGCTTGTTTTCGCTGTTCTGCATCCGTACGATTCAAATATTCGCTCTCATTTTTATTACTTTGCATGACACGCAAATATGTTCTTTCCGACCCAAACCCATTGCTCGATGCGCCCCTACACGGAGGAGTCTCGACTCATGATGTATCTGTGTTGTATGTGATTGAGGAATGACATGATTATTCTTTAAAAAAAAATAATTAGTAAGTCTGCACGAAGGATCTCTTGCACAAGGAATTTATGAGACTGCGGAGGTTCAGTCCGACAGAGGCCCCCATTTCCGGACGTCTTACGTACCCCGCGTGGCCTAAGGCGGTCAAGACAGCGGCCCCAAATATAAAATCAATCTGGCGTTGTGGTATGCGACCTCGTAGGCCGATCCTGATGAGCGGCAAAACGGGCGCATAAAGCAAGGGCAGTAGAAGCTGGTAATTTACCTCTTTCTTTTTCGCGTAAGGGTCCTTATCCTTCTCAACAGCAGGAGAAATGGCATAAATGTGCATGATCTCCTCCAAAGTATATGTTGGACTGGACTGCGGGCAATGATATCGTATGTGTCAATTTAGTGCCGTCTGATGTGTGGTAATGACGTCGAATGAGATGATGTCACAGGGGAATGACGTCTTGTACTACTTCTATTCGAGCTTCTCCACCAGAGATGACGATTCCTCCCTTCGCCTAGCAAGTGTGGGTGAGGGGTTGACAGCCAAATGTCTATCCAATGGATTGGTTTGAGATTTTAGGGTTTGATATGTTTCACAGGTCAAAATAATTTGACGATGGCACATTTTTGTCTGTCGGGTCCGAGATGGGCCTCGGAGAGGATCGAGACGCTTGGTAGCGTTGAGGAGGTACCAAAAAAGAGCTTTTTGTCCATTGGAAACAAAAAACACGATCCCCTAGCAGAGAAGAGAAAAGTTGCTACGCCTAGTTTTCTTCCATGTTTCCTCTTTGCTTACTTCACAAATCATGGTGCCGCAATGCACGACGACTCTCTTGAGTCAAAGTCGTTACGTAGCGACACAGTAACGTGGTGTTGTACGGTCTATCTCAATCTCCCAGCTCCGTTTTTAGTAGATTTTGTTCATGCTCGAGATCTTTGAAGGGTAAAGTAGGCAAAATGAGACCTCTCACTATTTTCAAGGACATGGAGCGCAATCTATGCACCATGCTTGATCAAAATTGTCAAAACTGCGTCGTATAAAAGCTCGCCTGCCTCCCATGAGGCGGCCCGAATACCTGTGGTCTGCACCTTTACCACCAGTGCGGTGAATTCATCAAGGAGATCATTCACACCCCTTCTTGTCGTTGCTTTGCTGCTGTACTGGGGACACATCTTTCTAGGGCTGGAATCCGAATCAGTATTTTCGGAAATGTTTTTATCATATTGCAGAGGACTTTGACTACTTTGATTGCGACTGGCAATCAAATCTGCTGTGATGGACGAAGAGCAAGACGAAAATGAAGAAATATCTTCAACTTCATCCTCACAATTTGCATTTTGGTATAAAAAATTTGTGTTCACCTGGGAAGATACTTCGCTGTCCCATTTGTTAGAATATACCATTTTGGAAGTTGTGCACAAAAAAATATAAGTATGCCAAATTGTCATTGAACCGCCGATGAGCGCCAGGCTCTTCAAAAGGTATATAAGAAAAACGAGAATGACAAAAAGGAACTGTCGAAGGGGTGTCGCAGACGCTGCCAGCCTGACGTTCAGGTCTAGAGCATGTAGTAGATGGCTTTGACCCAGGTGTGATGACAAGGCATAGCTCAATACTGCAAGGCCTGAGAGGACCCCGAGGTAAAGCTTTCGTGATTTGCGTTCACGAAGCCTGCTCAATCGAAATGAAATGATAAGAATGGCTATGATGAAAAGGCTCAAGGAGAATCCGAGTAGCTGGAGTCTCTCGTG